AAACATTCAGTGGGCCCCCATTTTGAACTTCATAGCTCAGTAAGACAAGGGGACCCTATTGCCCCCTTCATGTTCCTCATCATAATGGAGGCGCTATCGGCTAGCCTAAGATATAACAAGGACTTCACACGGATCAGGATCGCAAACATCCCGGGGGAGGCGGTGCCAGTCAGACTCTGCTCCTTGTTTGTCGATGACCTCACCTAGCACTAAGAACATGGAAGAAATTCAGACCCTTATGGCCCACTTTTGCGGGCTATCGAACATGGTCATGAACTAGGGGCAGAAGACCGTGGGCTGGTGGCTGCATCTCCAAGGGGGAACACCCCCCGAAAACCCACAGATTACTTGGCTTCCTCTGGAAGGCCCCCTCCGGAGGCCCCGCTCCAGATTTTTGGTGCATCGATGACAGCCAAAGAGGAGCCGGGCACTAATGACAAGTGGGTATTGACCACGACGCAGGCCAAATTGAACAAATGGGATAATAAACAAACGTCAATCTTCGGGTGGACCCTAGTCATTAACAATGTGGTGCTCCCATCGCTCTGGTATAAGGTTATCCTATATCCAGCAAGCTTCGAGGGGTTAAAAGCCATAAAGAGGCAGTTAGCAGCATTCCTATCGAGGGGAGACAGCGGGAACTCCCATGCCATCAGTAGGGTAGCATGGGAGTCGAAAATCCAATCCAAAGTTGGGGGGGGATTGGGGATCATTGATCCCTCCACACAGTTTCAAGCCTTGAGTGTACATCGGATCCAGTGTCTCATATTTTCACCCTCCTCGCCCAGGACCCCCATTGCCTTGACACAGATCGCAGCTTTGGCCCCGGGGGGTCCACCAGAGATTGATCTCCTAATGTGGTTAGAAGAAAGATATTCAAGTTGGAGGATCCCGCAGAGGTACAGAAATGAGAACTTAGTAGATGAGCATTGGCCATACCTTCTTTAGGTGTGGAGGAAGCTCCCAATCCCGGACAGACCGGCTCCAGAAAGATGGGAAGAAGGTGGTTAGGCGGCCCTTGTTTGCTATGTGACAGTTTGAACGCTGTAAACGCGTGTGAGCGTTCACACGCGCGCGTTCAAACGGGTGGGGACCGTGTTCAAACGTGCTACGCGCCACGTGGTGTGAATTTTTTGAACGCGACCCACCCATCCTTATGCGTGCATGGCAGACTACGGGTGGGGAACTTGGTTCTTCAAAAAAAAAAAAAAAAAAAAAAAAAAAA